ACAATTGATCTCCACAAAGTTTCCATTGATATTCCAGGTACTGTGCATTTGCACTCCACTTACTAAATATTTCTCATTTAAAACGTTTCAAAACACATGTTCTAGAAAAGTAATTGTAAATGTCAATGCAGGTAAATTTACATTTGTTAAGAAAAGTAAACGAAAAATCCAGAAAAATACCAAAGGATGGTGATTTCTGACACAAAATCGGGCCTGACTGTGGCATTAGCGATAGCCCGGCCCGAATCGATATTGCTCTCTCCAAACAAAAGGAGGCTGCTGAAGAAGCTCGAGAGTACCTTTGAAAATGGGCTGAAGATCAATAATCTTCTGGACACAATGCGGGCTTCCTCCCCAACACGTGGGCCCACGGATCGCATTGAAGATCAAAATTCATGGACAGTAAGTGAATCCAAAAATAAAAAATGAAAAATGACAATAATAATAATAATTACAATGAATAATATATGTTGTTAATGTACATGTGACACAAATGTACAGATTCTCCATCCATCGGCATTGAGCAAGTTTGACGAGATTATGAAAGTTTCAATGGGGAAACAAATAGTCGTCTTCTTGGATTATGATGGCACTTTATCGCCTATTGTTGACGATCCGGAGAGTGCTTTCATGACAGCTGAGGTTCATTTTGTATTAGAAATTAAATAATATATATACACATATTTACATACAAATATAAATTATTATTATTATTATTATTATAGAATGAAGTTGAAAATGAGGTTTGATTTACTAAGGTGTACAACTTTGTGAGATTGTCGGAGCTTTATTACGCGGGAAGCCATGGGATGGACATCAAGGGACCATCAAAAGGACACACAAAAGTGAGTGATGGACACTACACATAATTGTTATTTTTCCAATAACATCAATTTCTTAGACCAAATTATAATAATTATTAGGTAATTTTGATTTGTAAACTATTCAGGGAAATCAGATTATCCTCTGCCAGCCTGCCACAGAATTTCTGCCCATCATTCATGAGGTTGCTCTACCTTTACCATTGAAAACGACTTCAATCTTTTTTGTTTTTACTCATTCATATTGGGAGAGATATTTGTCAAAAACCCCTCAGGGTAACATAAATTAATTACATAAACGTCCCCTTATATTGTGAAACTACAGATCAATCCTCCCTAGCTTTTGGAGCAAATCAAATGTTGAGGTTGTTGTCTGTTATTTCAAAATGATATGAGTGATTTATGTATATAGGTTACATCAGGTGTAGTCTTGGAATTAATTAAAAATATTTCATTTCAGCCTTGGGCAAATTGTTGTTG